TTCTGTTGAAAAGCATAACGATCTCAGATTCTGAAATGTGATTACGGTTTACACAAATGTTTTAGAATTTTACACAAATGATAACGTGATCATACGAAAACAAGTTTGAAGACAACATTCTGGATTTATAAAACAATGACAAAGATCTTTGATATAAGCGTAGTTTATTTAAAGCCTATAATTGTTTTAAACGTTTACAACATTGTATTACAAATATAGAGATTTATTCTGGAAGCATATTTTCAAATGCAGCATTTCGGCAACCGTGCATTTACGGTTTCATATGTGAACATAATATAATTTTGATTTTATAGACCTTACCGAATTGTATACCAAAACTGATCCAACAGAGTTATGAGGAAGAACGTCTGAACTTTTACGGTCACAATTACGACTTGCATTTCTCAATACTTTTGCGACATGTTTCGCGTTATTATATCTTTGATATTAGAAAAATTGTCTGAATTCTAATTTTACCTGTTGAGTCCTCATCGATTGTGACATTTTAGTGAGTGAAGATTCTCATGGCGGGTGATACATGCATAGAAGGTGACGCTTATCTTGGTTTAATACTTTTGAAGTTTCTGCGATTCCCGCATTTTTCTTTTGCTATATTGATTTGTCTCTTTTTAACCAATTACCGAGATTTGAACTAATGTCGTCTTTATTTGATAGATCATTTATTGTTATGATGCTGTTTCATTGGCTTTTACCCAAGTTACCATGTTTTTTACGTTGATTTTACTTTACAAAACGAGTAAATAGATTATGAAAAAAGCATTTGAATCCAGAGCCGACTTCCTTTTACCGACAATTCTCATTATTGTTGACTTTTCTTCTTAAAGAAAATCCGTATTCGAAATATTTGAACACAAAAAACCCTTTGAAAACATGTTTATTTAATTCTAGTATTTTACCTCCTATAAAGAGGGCAGGTGCGTATTCTCGCTTATCAAACGATTTAAACAAAAAGATGATAACCACGCCGAAATATGACAGTTGTTGTCCATTCGTTTGATGTGTTTTGTCATTTGATTTTGCCATGTGATTAGGGACTTTCCGATTGAATTTTCCTCGGAGTTCAGTATTTTTGTGATTTTACTTTTTTCAGTAACGTCACCAAAAAAGATGATTGGTTTTTGCTCGTCATATATTCAATTTCAATTTCGTTTTCATTACTTTATCTAAAATCACAAAAATAATTATAAAAAAAGAACACGATCACTACTGTCTTTTTATGATTATTTTTTTAATTCCTAATCAACTTTTACTTTCCCCCTTATCATTCTTAGAGAATCAACGATTCACTTAAAAGGCGTCAACAGTTATCTCTGTTTTGTTATTTGATGGTGTAGTTTTTACACAATATTTGTAAAAAAAAGTATGTGAATACCTTGCAATTAGTATTTTATTATCTTTTTAGACATGAGTACATTTACAATCGAATCAATTTATCAAGATTGAATATTCACGTTTAGTGAAATCGTGTAATTGACTTTTGTTTGTGGTAACATTTCAAAGGTATTAAAATTAGGTTTTTTTTTAAGATTGATAAGACGTAGATTGGTAAGGTTTATTAAACTAAATATGCTTACCTGAAACTATTCGACCCAAAATTAAATAAAACAAAGACGATGAAATGAATGCTTAATGTTGTCCATTATAATTCCATCAGATATTCATCATTGTAGTGAAATGGTATTTGATATAATTTCCTTTTAACACAACGGATTTCGCATTTAAACTTAAAAGTGATATTTTGTGATTCATGTAGAAAAACCCAAATAATAGTGATTGTATTATGTGCCTTGCATTGCCATACCTGGTTGTTCTTTAAATCAAATTTAAACATGATACCTGATATGTTTCAATAGAAAACTGACAGATCATGCAAATGATATTTGAACTAAAGTTTGAAGTCTGGTATTTAACATTGACCTAAATTAGAATTGTAAAAATGTATTTTAACATTTTGAATTAAGGTATTGAATTTAAACTTTGAAATACAACAAAAACTCTTATTTTCATTCAAATGAATGTTTTGTGTTTATTATTTATTTAACGAATAATTCGAAGTGAAAATAAATATTTTTAACGTCGAGCCAGATTGTGTTATTTTCGCCGCCATCTTGTTTACATTGGTTACAAAAAGAAGTTCGGTCAACGTCGTCTATCCAAAAATAAGCAACGTCAAGAACAACTACCGGAAGTCCTCTCGACCAATCATATCAACGTATTATCTAATATGCAAATCATATAAGAATTATTTTTCATTATTTATAGTCCAACAAAAGAATAATGACCACCCATGTTGAAAACAGACCATGTTCTTGTTTGTGTAAAATAAATGAATTTCTTTTGAAAATGTGTTTAAAACTACCCAGAAGGCACCCGATGTTGTACAGACGTGGATATTTGGTTGAAAATAGGTCGCAACGTCGGCGACATAAACTCAACGTCGTGCGGTTTAGAGACAAGTTGAAAGTCTGGTTCCCGGTATTTCTATTCCGTTATCACGATGCATAGTTTTGCAAAAGGAACCAACATTTAATTTGGTTTGAAAACTAGGCGCGAACTCGAGGAAGAAGTAAGGAAGATCATCACAAAGTTAATTTAAACCAGCTTAAAATGAAAAAAAAGGTTCGTACACTTATCGTATAGTTTCATGTTACATTGCAGTTGATTATTTTCTTTAATTCATTCGAAAAAATGGTTGAAATACGGGGGTCAGATGTTAACGGATTGATTAAAATATATAACTGCAGATTATCCTCATAGAAGTAGAAGACGAAGATAAGAGCTCTTCTTTTAGGGATGGGAATCCATAACGAGATACACAACATAAAATTCCTTTATTATAACCTAGAACAACCCATGTATCATACATGTACATACAACTGTCAACTAGAACTTATTTGTGACAATCAAATCTTTTTAAAAAATGACATAGAAGGATTGTCAATAGACGCTATATAAGTTTCAAAGGTTAGCCAGGTATGACGAACAAAACCGGTTTAAAAATACATATTTAAACACTACTAGTTACCATATTATAAATAAACTTTTATCCTTGTAAGAAAAGCAGCGTTGAACTGTGATGTCTTTACGGAGTCGATTTAAACAAATTGTATTGATCTGTATGTATGTGTTGAACTAGGTATATGTCTTTTATGCAATAACAAAACATATCGTATTCTTTTACATGTTCTTTGTAATTTTTAACAAAAAACATAACGATCCCAAATTCTGAAATATGATCACGTTTTAGAACTTTTCCACAAATGAAAATGTGATCATACGAACACAAGTTTGAAGACAAAATTATGAAAATAAATGAAAAAGATCTTTGATATAATGGTAATTTATAAATAACCTATAATTATTTTCAACGTTTATACCTTGTATTACAAATATTGAGATGTATTGTGGAAGCAAGATTACAAAAAAAATAATGCAGAAATTTCAAATACCGTGCATTTACGGTTTAATATGTTAACTTTTTATAATTTTTATTTTTATAGATTTTACCCAATGTTATACAAAACTGCTCCAACCGAGTTATTAGGAAGAACGATTAAAAGTTTACGATCACAATGACACCGATACGATGCGTGAGTGTCTCAATACTCTAGCGACCTGTTGTGTGGTCTTGTATCCTTAGATATCAGAATTGTCCCTGTCGATTTTGATATTTTATGTGATTGCAGATTCCAATGCTGGTGACGCTTTTCTATCGACGCAGCTGGTTTCGTTCCTTTTGAAGTTTCTGCGATTTTCTCTCTTTTTAACAAATGTACGAGATTTGATTTACTGTCGTCTTTAATTCATAGATCATTTATGACTGAAATCGTATCTGGTAATGATGCTTCTTTATTATCATTTACTTAAGGTATCATGTTTTTCACGTTGATTTTATCTGATAAAACTAGTAATATAGATAATGCAAAACAAACACGCACTCTGTAAATCCAGCGCTGACCTCCTTTTACTACAAGTAATAAGTACTATTAAATAACCCCTGGCTCTCTGGAAATCTTAAATAAGTATACTATGGAGCGCATTAATCCTCAATTGTAATGCAAACTCATAGACAGGTAAATTTTGGCTCAAAATGGTCTAAATATATTTCTCTTTCACCAAAAGTTTCATTTCTGCAAATTTGGTGGTTAGTTTAAGAACACAATGACATCAAAAGCACTATTTTGTGTCAGACAAGGGCTACTTTTACATACGTGCTGAATTGGAGGGAGTGAATTGGTGGTCTGACACCTTATTGTTGACTTTTCTACAAAAAAAAATCCGTATTTGAAATTTTTGAACAAGAAAAAGCCTTTGAAAAAATGTAAATTCATTCTATGTTTAAAAATGTTTAAAAAAAATTATTTAACCTCCTATAGAGGGCAGGCGCACATTCTCGCTTATGAACGATTTAAGATAAAGAATATTAAAGTGTAAACCACGACGTCATAATGTCGCCAGGAAAATAATTGGTTTTTGTTTGTCATATAAATTATATCAATTTCATTATGCACTGCGATTTGTTGCTTTTTCAAAAACTTAACATTAATTTTCTCCAATTCATAAATAAATGATATAACTATGAAAATGACATAACCACTACTGTTTTTTCCTTTTAATGTTTGTTTATTCCTAAGCATCAGTATATTGTTTCCTTTATCTTTCACAAATAATCATCAACTCACATCTTTAACGCGACACCAGTTGTCTTTGTTTTGTTATATGATCGTGAAGTTTTTAACAATATCCGTAATTATAAATACCTTGTATAGAGTAGTTTATTGTCTGTACTTGGTTTTATCATTATTTTAGACCGACCTGAGAACATTTACAATTTATCAAATCAATTGATCGAGATTGAATATTCAAGTTTAGTGAAAACGTGAAATTGATTTGTGCTTGTTGTTTCATTTTAAGGATTTTATTATTTTTTTATTAATCATGAGTTTAATGACGATGTTTGAAAAAATAAATATGCTTACCTGAAACTATTTTATCCAGAGTTGAATACGACAAAGATGATGAAATGAATGCTTGATGTTAACCATTATAAGTTATTCACTTGAAAGTACAGAGTGTCTAGTGTGCAATATCATCACATATTAAGCATTTTAGTGAAATATTTTTTGATATAAATTCCATTGTATCCTAACGGATTCTGCATTTGAACTAACATATGATATTTTGCGATTCTTGTGGACAAATTACAATATTTATAATTGTATTATATATATAGGTGTACCTTATATTACGACATATTTAAAGAAGTGGTTGTATTTGAAATCAAACTTTTAAACAGGATACCTGATATTGTTCAATAGAAAACAGACAGACCATGCAAATGATATTTCAACTAAAGTTTGAAGTCTGGTATTTAACATTGACCTAAATTAGAACTGAAATTTGTTTTTTTAACAATTCAAATTGAGGTACTTTATACTTTAAAAATCATGTTTTGATTTTTCATATAAGGAATCTTTTGAATGAAAGAATACGGAACAATGATGTTCACTATTTATATTCCCATCAAAAAAGAAATGACCTCACATGTTGTCATGTTTTAGTTTGCTTTAAAATAGACGAATTTCGTTTGAAAATGTGTTAAAACTACTAATATAGTAATCATACGACATTTCTTTATTTTATATTTTAGCCTGTTGGTGTGTCAATATCTTATGAAATATTCGTAGGTGAGCTGTTTCTGCATAAATACGACCCCCCGGTGGATCGCTATCCTTGCCGTGGTCGGGGGGCTTGCGTGTCTCAGTGACCCCAAAAGCTATGCCAGCTGGAGCTTCGTCTCCTGGTAGGGTTACCCATGCTGGACAGGTCGAAGGGTAGAGACCAGACTAAAGTGATCCGAACATCGTACGAGTTGCCCGATGTTTTGAATAAAATAGGCTCTCCAACCCGTTGGCCGTGGGTTGCTACCCGTGTCGGTGGTTGACGAGATCCTTGCGGATGAGGGCTGTAGTCAGACTCCTTACGGTCAGAAAATACCCGGACGGACGAAACTATAGTTCAATAAGCTGCTTTGGCTCTGATATCATCTAAACGGGAGGTCGGATGGACCCGGTTCGATCAATCGGCTGGTCATGTCGAGCCCTTCAGTTAATCCTCAACAATAAGCTTTCTTGTAACAATTTTCATTATATACACATGTATTTAAATTAAGCTATTTATATTTCGGATAACTGAAGAAGGCGATGGCTCATGGGTCAATCAAGTGGTACGCTTTCTATTTCGCTTGATGGATACGCTCTGCTTGAGTATACTATTCTTGGAACATCTGGTGCTTTCCGCAGTGGATCTTGGGTGCTAATTTTGGGGACAGGCTGCATTATACTTGCAGCTTGCTTTCAGCATTAGCGCTTGACCCCGGCTCGCCACGGAAACACAGCATCGCCCTTGTAGGCACTCCGAGGTGGGTGGATGACAAGGATAGTGAATCTTTCTCCTTTCATATGGCAAACAAAAACCAAACTTCTCAATTAGCTTCAACAAAAAAAAGAAAATGTGATGACTCTGCGCCCTGTCAGGAAGATGATAGTTGGCCCCAATTTATTGTAATAAAAGGAACAGATGAAAAACCAGTTTCAAAAATATCTCCTTTTGTAATTCATAAACAAATTCAAAGCATTGCTGGTACAGTTAAAAAAGTTTCAAAACTGAGATCAGGGAATTTGTTGGTTGAATGTTCCAACAAAGGTCAATCAACAAATTTGCTGACCATGACAAAAATTACAGACTTTTCTGTTTCTGTCTCTCCTCACAATAGTTTGAACAGTTGCAAAGGAATCATTCGAGACAGAAGTCAATATCTGGGTGATCTTACCGTGGAAGAAATTAGTGATGAATTAACAAACCAAGGTGTATCTGATGTTGTTAGATTTCAAATAAAAAAGAATGGAAATATAACCAAATTAAATACATATCTTTTGACCTTTAAAACTCCAACTCCTCCCTCATCTATTACATTAGGTTGCTTCGGAATCAGAGTTGACAGATTTATCCCTAACCCAATTCGATGCTTCACCTGTCAAAAGTTTGGTCATGGAACCAAACAATGTCGTGGTACGCAGAGATGTTTCAAGTGTTCTGGCGAAGGACACGAGGGAACAACTTGTAGCTCTGAATCTTCAAAATGCGTAAACTGTGGTGAATCCCATTTTTCATCATCTAGGGACTGCCCTGTTTACCTGAAAGAAAAAAATATTATTAAAATAAAAACAGAAAGAAACATCAGTTACCCAGAAGCTAAACAGATAGCTTCTGTTTCGAGTGATCCTCTAGTTTCGAACAAACCATCGTACGCCAGCAAAGTTGGCCGCTCATTCAGTCATGAGAATACACAAACTCGCATGACGTGGCCAATTGATGCTGAAACTTTTACAATGTTGCCTGTTCAATTAGAAACTTCCGATAAATTAATTATTCCAAGAAAATCAAAGCCATCTAAAACCAGTACTCAGTCAACTCAATCTTCCTTACAGAGCTCAATGTCATTATCTAAAAAAAATGAAAAAAAGAAATCAGATAAAAAAGATGCAGTTAAATCAGACAGTTGGGGCGGTGAATCTGTCTGGGATCTTCCCAGTGACATAGATGATTCTTCCATCTCAAAAAGTCTTCCTTCATCTGCATCTAAAAAGTTATCTTCTACACCCAGTACAAAGTCTACTAGAGCCCCGTCTCCTCTTCGTTCTCCAGAAAAGAAGGATGTCCCAAAGAAGCCAGTAAATACATCCTCTCAGAAGTCTTCTGATTCGAGGTCGCGGGGTAGGGGTCGAGGCGGAGTAAAAGCAGCCGCGTGTGGTCCTGGAGATCGACGACTCTCCTCACACACAACAGATTTTCAACACTTATCGACGAAACTGAAATGGAAATCGAAAGTGTTCCGCCACCCGAAAGATCACAATCTCAGGGTGAGCGAAATAAGAATGCTGGCAAACTCGACAGCATTCGCGTTTCTATTTTCAAATCATGACTAATATCATCCAATGGAATTGCCGAGGTCTTAAAATAAATCTTCTCGAGTTAACGCTTCTAGTTCAGTCATTTTTACCTTCTGCATTTTGTCTTCAAGAAACTCATTTAAAAGAAAGTGACAATGTATCTTTAAAAGGATACAACATGTATAGCACATTTTCTAGGGTAGATGAACGTGCTGCAGGCGGATCATCCATTTTTGTGAAGGACAACGTCATTCATAGCACAGTCCAACTCACCACGGATCTGCAGGCAGTTGCAATTCGTTTATCATTAGATAAGACAATTACATTATGTTCTATATATATTCAACCCAATTCAATTATAGATAAAGCTAAACTCAAAAACCTCACTGATCAATTACCCTCACCATTTATACTTATGGGCGACTTCAATGCCCACAACCCTTTGTGGGGAAGCAAGTCTCATAATATCAAAGGTAAGATCATTGAGGACTTTGTCTCTCAAGAAGGATTATGCATTTTTAATGATGGATCTAATACTTATCTTCATCCTGGAAACGGGTCTTATTCTGCTATTGATATCAGTATTTGCGATCCCTCTCTTCTTCTGGATTATTCATGGCGTGTTCATGATGATCTATGTGGAAGTGATCACTTTCCAATAGTACTTGAACATCTTTTTACTTCTGCCCAACAGAGAGTACCACGTTGGAAACTTGACAAGGCGGACTGGTCCTTGTTTGAGAATCTCTGTCAAGCGGAACTTCAGTCAAAGATGTTTGAGACTGTACAAGATCCAATTTTAACTTTTAATACAGTTTTGACGTCAATTGCTGACAGAACTATTCCTAAGACCTCGGCAAATCCGAAACATCCCAGCAAACCATGGTTTGATGATGCTTGTGATCAAGCAATAGATGACCGTAAAAAATCTGAAAGACGGTTCAATCAACAACCAACGACGGAAAACTTGAGTAATTTCCGTGTTTTTCGCGCTAAGGCACGGCGGACTTGCAAGCAAGCACGACGAACGTCTTGGAAGAAATTTGTCTCGGAGATAACATCTCGCACTCCGATGACAAAAGTATGGAACATGATACAAAAGATAAAAGGTAAAAATTCTAAAGCCACAGTTAAACATTTAAAAAATGGCAATGATTTATTAACATCTGAAAAGGATATTGCCAACAAGCTTGGTGAAACTTTTGCGAAATCTTCTTCTTCTAACAACTACAGGGAAGATTTTAAAAAAGTTAAAAAACAAAAAGAAAAAATTAAATTAAACTTCAAATCAAAAAATGGTGAAAATTATAATAAACTCTTTTCTCTTGAAGAACTTAAAACATCTCTGTCAAAAGCCCATGATACAGCTTGTGGGCCTGATAATATTCACTACCAACTGTTAAAACACTTGCCAGATTCCTCGCTGGAAGCTCTTTTGCAGCTTATGAATAACATCTGGGAATCTGGTGATTTACCATCAATCTGGAAGCTTGCAACCGTCGTGCCTATTCCAAAACCAAGTAAAGATCACACGGATCCTATTAATTATCGGCCAATTGCTCTTACCAGTTGTGTCTGTAAAACACTAGAACGGATGGTCAATGATCGCCTTGTTTGGTTCCTGGAATCCAATGGGCTTTTAGCCAATATCCAGTGTGGATTCCGCCAAGGTCGCAGTACTCTTGACCATCTTGTTCGATTCGAATCATTTGTCCGTAATGGTTTTGCGAAAAATGAACATGTAGTGTCGGTCTTTTTCGATCTAGAAAAAGCCTATGATACTGCATGGAAGTATGGTATTTTAAAAGATCTCTTTGATATGGGGTTGAAAGGCAATATGCCAAATTTTATTTCGAATTTTCTATCTAACAGACAATTTAATGTTAGAGTAAATTCAACCATGTCTGATCTGTATGATCAAGAGATGGGTGTCCCTCAGTGCAGTATTTTATCTGTTACATTATTTAGTCTTAAAATCAACAGCCTTGTTGAAGTTTTAAAAAGTAATATTGAAGGTTCATTGTATGTTGATGACTTTTTAATATGTTATAGAGGCAAAAATATGAATAACATAGAAAGACAACTACAGTTATGTCTTGGAAGAATTGAAAAATGGGCCTCGGAAAATGGGTTTAAATTTTCCACTTCAAAAACGGTCGGGATGCATTTTTGTAACAAAAGGAAATTGCATCTTGATCCAGAACTCACTTTGTACGTCAACCCAATTAAAATGGTTGATGAAACCAAATTTCTTGGGTTAATTTTCGATAAAAAGTTAACCTTTCTACCCCATATCAAAATGTTAAAATCGAAATGTTTAAAAG